CTTAGGGCAGAGAAAAGCAGGGTATAAAAACCAACTCTTCTTCTAATTTAGAAGGAAAAAAAATGTTTTACAGTTCCCACTATCCACCATGGTTCTGACCCACCTCTATCACCTTTCTGTCTGCGCATGTATGTTTTTTTCTTAACAGAAATTCCGACTTCGACAGATGCTTGCAGATGTTTTCAGGGAACAGCATCAAGGGAGGTATTTCAGCAGGAGGGGGAAGGTGGAGCTCCTTCTGCCCACATAAATGCTATGCTGGATCTGAGCCCTATTTATTGTCATCAATCTGCATGGAACTTTACAATGTACCAGGGGACAAATCCCTGCCCTAAGGAATTTACAATCTGAATTTTGCTATGTAAGAGACACCAAAAGGACAGGAGGGAGGTGGTGGGTGGTAACAGCATGACTGGCTGGAAAGGAGTTTAGTATAGATTTTGTTAAAAAGCTAACACTGCTATCACAATAAAAAGTACTTTAAGAACTGTAAGGTAAGAGTAAAGGTTCCCTTGCCCGAAAGCCAGTCGAGTCCGACTCTAGGGTTGCGGTGCTCATCTCCGTTTCAAAGCCGAAGAGCCAGCACTGTCTGAAGACGTTTCCATGGTCATGTGGCCGGCATGACTAAACCCCAAGGCGCACGGAACGCTGTTATCTTCCCACCGAAGTGGTACCTATTTATCTACTTGCAATTTCTTGCTTTCGAACTGCTAGGTTGGCAGGAGCTGGAACTAGAGACGGGAGCTCACTCCGTCATGTGGCAACTCGGGTCTCGAACTGCTGAACTACTGACCTTCCACAGTCTTAACCACTGTACCACACATTAAAAAACATTCATCCCAAGTTGCATGCTAGGAAAATCTCCTATGTTTCTTCTATTTCTGGCAGAAGCTGCATAAAAAAGTTAGCAAACCCAGGCAAATGCTAGACAAACCATTCCGTCTGACATGGGTCTCGTTCATATGGGCTCTTGAAACCCACTTTGGATTCTGGAGGCAAACGGATTTTTTAAAAAAGGTTTCATAAGCCTGAAGGATAAAGCTCAGCAGTAACAACACTGGATCAAAACAGGCTTTGGAAAACTTGGATTAAAGCTTCGTTAACTGGGAGAGGACAATGTTCTTAAAGTGTGTGAAAACTTAAAAAAACAAACCCATTTACCTTCAGAAGCCAAAGTGGGTTAAAGAGCACATGTGACAGGGACCATGGCAGCTTTCCAGATGTTTAAAGTGTTTAAATTAAGGACACATTCCACATTTTGCTTTTTTTTTTAATGCAGGCTGGTTTTTAAAGGACACACAACAGTACCATGAAGTCAGTACTCAAGAACTGGATACCAGGCTGTTGATTTTGAATATAGGGAATATTGTTTAACAACTAAAATCCAACCAGGGCACACATTCAGTGATCTGGAAAGCACTATAATTTGGTAACATCTCTCATAATCCCTGCTCAATAAAAAAGTATTACTGGAGGTTCTGAGAAAAATTGCCTCTTCCAACATGTCCCCCCCCCAACTTGCATGCCTTAACTTGCAACCTACTTGTGGTTCCTGCCCCCTGGAACATTTACCTGGCATCCACCAAGAAGCTTCTTTGTGGTGACTCTGTCCTTGTGGAACCAACTGTCAGATGATTATGTGGGCCCTGCAGGATTTATCTAGGTTCTGCAGGGACTGCAAAACAGAGCTCTTCTGTTTGGCTTTTAGTCGCATTTGGTTTATGGGTTGCCTTCTGGTTTTATTTGGATTATGTTTTTAAACTGAGATTTGTTAATCTTTTAACTGTTGTTAGCCACCTCGAGACCACCCAGCAGCGAGAGGCAGTATATAAATTTAATACATAAACAATTTATGCATTGCTTGTGTATCTGGTCTTGGGATATTTACATGATCAACTCACCTCCCTTCCAAAACACCTCATTACTGCAGATGATTGCTTCTGCCCCAGCATCTCCAACTGGCCCCTGAACCTCTGCTGGCCTATTTCATACTCCTTGCACCTTTACCATTCTTGATTCTGCCCCCACCACCCTTTGGATATTGTTCATCCCACACAGGTAATGGAAACCTCAGTCACTACTTTTAACAGCACTCAGTATAATGTTGGCTGAGAACAGAATATTTGCTAGAGACCATATCCGGCAAATTGTTTGAACTGTTTATGCAGCGAATCCACTCCTATTTTGAGAATTTGCATTCAAAGGCTAAAGTAGATAATTATCTCCATCTACTGGAGAGGGTCCATACATCACTCATGTACCCACATGCACAAGTTTTGCTAAGCATAGAAGTCCCTTGGACCAAAGCCTTTTGTTTGATCAGCATCTGTGATTTTTGAGATAAGATCTGAGAGAATGTGTATGTTATTAAGCACGAGCAAACAAAAAAGTTTACAGTGGGGGGAAAACTGATTCAAAAAACACATACTTACCAGCCACTTTTTAAAGAAGGTGCCTAAAAATAATTGTATTCTGAGTTTGCTGTGCAAAGCTGCTTCCGCTTTCAGAGTTTAAAAATATTCTAAAACGAACAATTTTAATGTTTAAAATCATTTTAATGGAAGTGTGATTAGAGATTATTACATAGGTGAGGGAGGAAAGGGCTGTCTTTCGAATGAGATCCAGGGGACAATATAAAAGAACAAGGGTTATGTTTTTCATTATTTTCTGCCCAGTCCTTTACAGCATTGAGACAGTAACAAATGGAGCCCAACGTAAAAGCCTCCAATATGTTTCTTGCGAATAGTTCATCCTTTTGCAGAAGACCTGTGTCCCAGCACTGCCCCAAGCACCAAAGTGAGTCAGCCCTGGTGGGGCTCAGCTTTCCTAGGGCAGGGTAGACAAAAATGGGGGATTCCTAAATGTCCACTACAAAAATCTTATCAGGCTACATATACTTTCCCGATGAGCTGAAGATCAATAAACGCACACAAGTTAGCCTACTGAATAAAACGGCCACATATCCTTCAACCCTCTTCCTCTCTGAGTGCAAATAACGAAGTGCCAGATCCCAGAACATTTATATGCAGCCAGGTTCCCTCTGTAGCCTGTTCCTTATTATCAAGCAGTTAAAGCAAATAGTGTGTAGAAAAACCATTCATTATTCTCTTCCCAGACAAACAAAAAAGAGATACTGCTGGCAATGTTCAAAACTGTTGGAGGAGAAAGCAGGAAAAGAATATCCTTCGGCTACCCAATGTTGATTATTAAGGAGGTTTGGTTAGCCAAATGAGATTTCTAAGCATGGGACAGAAGCGCCACCTGTTGGACAAACTGGAGATATACTTAACGGGAACCAACATTTTGGAAGCGGGGACTTGTGAGGAACACAGGAGATGGGGTAGAACACCCTTCTCCCCCCCCCTTTTTACTGGGATAAAAAATACAGTAAGGGGCACTTCAGCCTACCACTGTTCCTCAGCCTGTTTACTGTAGTACTGTTGGTGTAGCCCAGGTACAGAACTGGCTGCCTGCTGTTAGCATGGGGGGCACCTTTTCCAGGGACATATTTTCCAGGACTGCATTCCAGCAACTAAATTGGAATGCGAACTGTTAGGTACATGATGCCCTTTTACTTCTTAACTTGCAATGTTCCCTAAGCATAGAACTCAAGGCAATGCTATTTTACAACCTCGCTGTACTAATACTGCAGTTTAAAAGCCCAAATTACAGTTCCACTGTAAAATCAGCAACCCTAACAAATTTGCATTTGGGGACTGTAAGGAAGGAAGTAATACAGATGAACTTCCAAAGACAAAAGCAATCTAGTCTTTGTCTCAAACACCATTTATTTTCACACACAAAATGCACTTGCCACATTATGTCCCCTCAGCACGTTTTCTTTTGACCTTTCGTTCTAGATAAACCAGCTGATCCAGAGGCACAAGATTGTACACCAGAGGCATTCCACAATGTGGTTTTATCTATATCAGTGGTGGCGAACCTATGGCACGGGTGCCAGAGGTAACACTCAGAGCCCTCTCTGTGGGCACGTGTGCCATCGCCCCAGCCAGGCCCAGACCATCATTAAAGTATCGAATTCTCTGCCAAATAATTTTAAGTAAATGAAAGCATTTGGGATTGCTTTCCTTACTTTGTTTGGATCATCTTAAGTTAATGGATTAGTTGTTTTTTCTAAAGTAAAACCTCAGTATTCAGGTTAAATTGCCGTGTTGGCACTTTGTGATAAATAAGTGGGTTTTGGGTCACAGTTTGGGCACTCGGTCTCTAAAAGGTTCGCCATCACTGATCTATATGAAGGCATGAGGAAGAAGCCTATGCATATACACAGTGTAACCTCATTTGTAAGAATGCTGTGAAGTGCATAACATTCACATTAACAGTACCTTGGATTAATAAAATTGCCAATGGTGGACTAGGCCTGTTTATTTATTTTCGCATCTATTTTTCTCCGCCTCCTGGCCAAGCAACCCCTCCTGGGGGGTGGGCTGCTGATCTCAGACCTAACCATAGGCTCACCCATTGCCTCCCTCCACCCACAGCAGCTGGGTCTGAGCCTTTCCTTTTCTGGGCTCTTGTTTGCTCCTGGCTTCACAAGGCCAAGGTTGCCATTGCAGAAGATCTAAGCCATTGCAGAAGATCTAGGCCAGATCTTGTGAAAACAGTTTAAGAAACTTGGCTAACCATCTTTCAGATTCAGGGATTCGGCCATCACGGAAACATTTACATTCTGTCTACAGCTCAACATGCCATTGTCCTATACATAACCATCTACAGAAGTGTAGTTGTGACAATGAAGAATGCATGTGACTTTCTTACACTGACTTCTTCTGCCTATACAAATCCAAATACTTCATACGACACTTGTCAACTAATTAGGCCTTAAGCAGCCTGCAACAAATTATAAATACAAAGTAAGAGTGATATAAAGTAATACACCAGCAGATGTATAGTATACACACATGGACACATGAAGCTGCCTTACAATGAATCAGACCACTGGTCCATCAAAGTCAGTATTGTCTACTCAGACTCCAGGGTCTCAGGAAGAGGTCTTTCACAACACCCCCTGCCCCCCCCCCACACCTTTATATGGAAATGCCAGGGGCCGAACTTGGGACTTTCTACATGCAAAGCAGATGCTCTACCACTGAGCCACAGCCCCCTCCCCCACTCAATAAGGGTTTGGGTACTTTTTTGCAAGAGCCAAGTGTACAGATGTGACAGGTTTCTCTCAGGAGGAAATGCTACAATGCAGGAGTCTCCACCAAGCAGCCACCACTTCTGGTAAGCAACAACATACATAACCTACCTTACTTTTTTTCAACTAAGGGTGGGGGGTAGCATATTTCATAAGGGAAGACATCCCCCCTCAGGTATGTCACAGGCAATTTAAGGTTTTAAAGGTCAAAAATAGCTCTATGAATCTGATCCAGAAACCAAACTATGAGGTAACAGAACTCCTGGAGAATCAGGGTAACGTGTTCCCAGCAGGCACCTCCAGATCACTGATGAGCAACTACATTTCTGTACTGTCCTTCATGGTTAGGGTTGCCAACTCTGGCTTAGGGAATTCCTGGAGACTCACAGGAAATTCCTAGGGAGGGCAACATTTGAAGGCTGGGAATTCATTGGGGATGCCAGTGCCGCAGAGTCCACCCTAAGAAACTGCCATTTCCTCCACAGCAACAGATTTATGTAGTCTGGAGGCAGTTCTAATTTTGGGAGAAATATAGGCCACACCCTGAGCTTGGTAGCCATACTACTAGGTCATCTAGACTACAGAAATCAGATGGGGAATTTTTCACAACATACAAATCAGCAGTGAGGACTCAGCCAACCAGAAAGGGCAGCTGTTGTCTCAGTCACCATTAGCAAAACTTGGTCCTGGTCCAGCTAGAAAACCTAAAAGAAAAGCTGGATACAGGAATTCCTCCCAGCTGCAAGCTCCTTCCATGGAGAGTGACAGTGCATTTAAAAGAACACTCTGCAACTTCCTGGATGACTCACCCTTCATCAAATCTCTTACTGACTAAAAGGCAGAAGGCCGCAATTTTACATAATGGGAGGAATATTTTACATAGGATTGACTTCTTCTCATCTGCCTTTTTAAACCTACCAAATGGTCTCCTTTACCTATGACCTTCAATTAAGAGCCATCCATTCTAGTAATTTACTGGGCCATTTACACATATACTCTTATGTACATTACTGAGGGGGAAACAAAGATTAGGAACTCAGGAACGGAATTCTAAATTTTGAAGCAGGCTGACCCAGATTATACAAGGGTACTTTCAACCTATTATAATCCAAACTAGTACAATGTGCCACAAAAATAAAACATTTTATTAAAATAACATTTTAAACCCCTGACATTTAATTTTTACATATTTCTATTGTTTTCTGTTAGTGTAGCACAGGTAAAAGAAGACATAAAGATAAAACTAGTCTGGATGGGCACATGCTTTAAAGGTAGGCCAGACCCACCCTGGATTTCACCCCAGGAACGCTCCTCTGAACCACTGTTGTTGTTGTTAGCCATTCAGCTGTGTCCGACTCTTGGTGATTCTATGGGCCCGCTCTCTCTCTCTCTCCATGTTTTCCGTTCTTGTAACTCTGAACCATACAAAGCAGATATAGCCACATTCAGGCTGTTGCTTTACATAATTAACTTTGCTCAATGCTATCACTTGTACAAGGTGTTAGACTACATCTCCATGTTGTATACTTCTCATAATCACAGCAGCCAACGTTGCAGCCAAGCCTTGGTTTTCAAGTGTCAGTTGTACCTAGTACACCTGAAAGTCCATTACACTAACAGCATACTTTATCGTATACAGTAAAAAGAAACCATACAGTTGTGGACAGCCACAACAAGCATGGCAGAAATTCCATATATTTGCCAACTAGACCAATACCAAAAGGTTTTATTTTTAAGCAACCATTATAATACTATCATAAAGAAGTTGCAATGGATGGTTGGGTCTCATTTTCAACAACATAAGGACAAAAAAAGACATTAAATACTCTTTATTCCAAACCAAATATCCTATACATTTGTGCAATTGATTTCTTCAGCTTTGTTACCCAACGTCTACTGGTAAAGGATATTTTTTCCTCTTTGGAAAAATAGCAATTTTATGAAAAGTAGCACCTCTACCCTATAGTACAAATACAGTTGTGATTAGTGGTTATTTGCCAAATGCCTGTCACTGGGAAGACTACAATGCATTACCTTTTGTTTAAACACTGCTAGCCATGCTCTTCAACACAGAAGCCAGCTTTTCGTGAAACCTAGTTTATATAGGTACTTGCCACTGTTTCGTGTAATTTGCTTCTGAATTGATACACTTAGTGTTCTTCTTTGTACTGCAAAGAAAAGACTTGAATGCCTAATCATAACTGACACACAATTGAGGAAAACTTTAGCCATAATCCCTTACTGATATTTAAGAACTACATTCTTTCAGAGCACTGCATAAAGGATCTCTGTCTTTAAACAGAAAACTAGCATGTCAAGAATTACAGTCTTACCAAACTTCAGGCAAACATTTAGCTTGACTGTGAACATTTTTTGTGTTTGATGTGCTAGAATATTTTCAGCAATGGAGCAATTAGCAAGTCAGCTGTCAGAAATTACTGCAAAAAATTATCCAAGCAACATCACAGGTCTTCCTCTATGATTTGCTAACTACATATCTTGAAGATACGTTTTCCCAGTTGATCACGTTCCAGATAGCTTTGAGATAGTCAGGTCTGACATTTTTATACTGCAGATAATAGGCATGCTCCCACACATCAATCCCTAGCAGCGGAACAAGACCTAAAAGAGAGGAAAATGCATACATCTAAATTAGCTAACAATATTTTAGTGCTTGAAAGAGCATTCATTTTTCCATTGCAGTTCCATTTCTACACCATTAATGCTACAAAACCTAGGCATTTCATCAAGTTCAGAGACATATACAGTATTAACTTTAAAATGAACTATTTAAACACAGCAGAATTTATATTCCAAAGAAACAGAATCCAGTGTCTGCAAAGTCACTTTTTATACTACTACATTCTACATGTGGAGGACTGTTAAGTCCATGATTATGTGGAAGAGCAGAAGAAGAAGAAGAGATTAGATTCATACCCCACCCTTCACTCAGAGTCTCAGAACGGCTTACAATCTTCTTCCCTTCCTCTCTCCACAACAGACACCCTGTGAGGTAGGTGGGGCTGACAGAGCTCTGAGACAACTGCCCATGAGAGAACAGCTCTGCGAGAACTCAAGGATCCCTGGCCAAGCTGGCCAAGAGGAAAATTCCTTCCTGATCCCAAAGTGGTGATCGGCAGATGTCTTTTGTAAAACTGTCTTTTCTAGCTGGCACATGCATTTGAAAGTGGAGAAGTTTCTGCCAAACCATCAGATGCCTGGGAGGTAAGTTTTTAACAATAATAGGGGGGAGGCTTTAGGGCCCTGCACAGCAACTTTCAATGGCTGGCAAAATGGGGGTGCTCTGCTCGATCAGCCAAGAAGTCCAATTAGTCCAGCATCTTAGTTCCCACAGAGACCAACCAGAACCTTCTGGGAAGCCCAGAAGGACATGCAGGCAACAGTTCTCTCTTGCTGATTGCCAACCATCCTTTGAGTAGGGAGGTTTTATTTAGTTATGATGGCTAATTGATGGACCTAACCTCCATGAATTTGTTTAAGCCACTAAACTTGTAAAAATAAGACAAACAAGTCATCCATACAATAAAATGATTGCTTTACACACCCTCTCCTTGTATACTAATGAGAAGATGCCATATTCATCAGAATTCATGTAAAACTCATAAAGAAAAAAATTAAGTAAACCATCAGAAGGAATGATTAACCCCATCAGTTGTTAAGAGCAATTTTAAATGAGTGCCTTTCATTTCTTCCAGATTATCATTGCAAATTCTATGGAATTTTTACTTTGATCTGAAGATATGTAAAATGAAAGTGACCAGTGCACCCCAAAAAGCAACGGAAGTATTTAGCAAACTGCTTCTGCAAGAACTCTCCACATATTACACTACAAACATAGAAGTACATTCCAATTTCAGTCAAGTCCCAGGTAGAGAAACTTACCAGTGGTTCCTTGGAGAGGGTCTTGATTGGAACAAGCAGCTATCTGCAATCGACCTTGTTCTTTATTAAAACCAAGCCATCCCCATCCTGAGCCTTGGACACCAACGGATGCAGCTGTCAATTTCTCCTTAAAGTTTGCAAAGGAGCCAAAATCTCGCTTAATGGCATCCATTAACTCCCCTTCAAAAGAGACCATAATTAAAACACACACACAAATGCAGCACAGTAATTTTCTACTTAGCATTGTGACAAATTCCCACATGTATTAACCATGGTTAACAGACTGTAACAGGCTGCAGAATCACTGGTTTCCTTAAGCAGAAGGAATGTGTGATTCTGCATCTCTAAGCTATGGTTAAATGATCTCCTGCAATATATCTGTACTAACTATGGATGCAGTTCCTTCGCTTTTAAAGAACCTGAAACTTTCCAATTCATATTGCTCTGAACAATATCTGTGGGGATCACTCAGCTTTGCCCAGAAACTATAAATTGATTTTTCTACAATCCTCATTCCTAAAGTTAACAGTTCCATAGCATCGTGATGCAATATCACAACTAGAAAGTCACCCAATTCAGAGAATCACAGGAATAGCAGAAGTCTACACACTGGAGCTGCGGTGGCTCAAGTGGTTAAGACGCTGAACTGCAGGCTGTGGAAGGCCGGTAGTTCAGCAGTTCAAGACCCGAGTTGCCACATGACAGAGTGAGCTCCTGTCTCTAGTTCCAGCTCCTGCCAACCTAGCAGTTCAAAAGCAAGAAATTGCAAGTAGAGAAATAGGTACCACTTCAGTGGGAAGGTAACAGCGTTCCATGGGCCTTGCTGTTCAGTCATGCCGGCCACATGACCACGGAAACGTCTTCGGACAGCGCTGGCTCTTCGGCTTTGAAACGGAGATGAGCACCGCAACCCTAGAGTCGGATTCGACTGGCTTTCGAGCAAGGGAACCTTTACCTTTACTTTACACACTGATTGGCGTTTCCAAGATAACAAGCGTGACGTTCAGTCGCTTGTGCACAAGCTATCACACGACTATTCCTTCCCAGTTACATTATTACAATTTATTTCTTCTGTGCAAACAGCTTTTGCAATTAGTAGTCCACATGCAGAAGTCTGTGCTAGCTGGGTCAGAGTAACTATTAAAAATTTTTTCTTATACAGCTTTGGGGGATTTTCTTTCCCATCATATGTATTTGCCACTATAGAAAGCCAATAAGTTTTGCTTCCATTATTTTTAACTGCCACTTAACATTTACACGTAAAACATTTTAATCAGCATTCAAATAATATACCTACTTTACTGAGACGCCAGCCCCAATAACAAAACATGGCAATGCAACAGATTGACAATAACAGCATCCTGATTCTTTGTAAACACTGATAGGACCAGCCTAAACGAGTACAGTGCATGCACCCCAGGACTGACTTTAGTGGACTAAAGCAAAAGTGAAAAATTAATCCATTTTATACCAGTATTACAAATTACAATAAAACACCATGGCTGATTACAAACCTTTAGGCTCCCCTCCACCATTTGGAGAAAGGTTTGTCCAGAAGATAGAGTGATTGATGTGACCTCCGCCATTGAACTTCAGAGCTGGCTGAAGAGACACCTGAGCTGTAACATCACCTGGAAATGCAAAGGTAAGTGGCTCAGTCCCCGCATAAAGCTTTTGTATTTTTATCTGCCACAGAGAAATCCGCTTATTTATTTTATTTATTTGGACTTATATCCCGCCCTCCCCACAAGCAGGGTCAGGGCAGGTTCCAACAATATTAATACAATATACAATACAATAAAAACCACTTAAAACAACACAACTTCCTAAAATACCATGTAAAAACTGATCAGATGTCTCAGCGATTAAGATGGAATTAAGAATCCAAGCCACATGGGGAGGCCAGCCAGAAAGGGGGGGGGGTGTCTGCTGCTGCCTCAACTAAAAGCCTGGCGGAAGAGCTCCATCTTACAGGCCCTGCAGAACTGTAATAAATCCTGCAGGGCCCTGATCTCATACGGGAGCTCATTCCACCAGGTCGAGGCAAGTCGGATGTCCCTGGGTCCAGGGACTCCCAAGAGATGTTGATTTGTAGATCTTAGTGCTCTACAAGGCTCATATGGGGAGAGGCGGTCCTGAGTGTATGCTGGCCCCTGATTGTATAGGGCTTTAAAGGTAAGCACCAGCACCTTGAAACTGATCCGGTATTCAGTAGGCAGCCAGTTCAGTTTGCTCAGCACTGGGTGGATACGAGCCCGCATAGGCATTGCTGTCAACACCCGTGCTGGCACTTTCTGCAGTAGCTGCAACTTCCAGAGCAGAGTCAAGGGCAGCCCCACGTAGAGAGAGTTACAACAGTCCAGTCTGGAAGTGACCACTGCATGGGTCACTGTATCCAGATCCCAAGGGGTGAGATATGGGGCCAGCTGCCTGATCTGCCTCAGATGGAAAAAGGAAGATCTGGCAGTGGCAGTGACCTGGGCCTCCATAGAAAGGGAGACATCCAGTAGCACCCCCAGACCTTTCACCCTCAACACTGGCACCAATGGAGCCCCATCGAAGGCTGGGAGTCTGATTCCCTGTCCCAATCCCCCACAACTCAGGTGCAGAACCTCTGTCTTGGATGGATTGAACTTCAGTTGGCTCTATCGCAGCCATCCAGCCACAGCTTTCAACGCCCCGTCCAGAGCTCCTGGGGCCATGTCCAGGCAGCCGTCCATCAGTAGATAGAGCTGGGTGTCATCCACATATTGGTGACAACCCAGCCCATACCTCCAGATAATCTGGGTGAGAAGGCACATACAGACATTAAACAGCATAAGGGAGAGAATTGCTCCCTGCGGCACACCACATTCCAGTGGGTGTCATTGGGATAACTCCCCCCCCCAAGCACCACCCTCTCTCCCCAACCCTGGAGAAAGGAGGTCAGCCACTGCAAGGCAAGCCCCTTATCGAACGCTGCTGACAGATCAAGAAGTATCAGCAGCACCGATCTGCCTCAATCCAGATGTCTCCAGAAGAACATCCACCAGGGCTTAGTCAATAGTACTACTGTAAAGTAAACAGATTGCTGCTCACAGGAGATCAGACACCTGTTGACGATGTATAAATATATGAATTCCTCCATATATCCCTTTGTGTCTCAAAATAGAGCCTAGTCAAAGTAAACATCTAACACATTTTCTGCAAAGGTTTCCAGAACATATAACTTAAGCATAGGTCCTCAGATTTTGGTTTGACTTGGTAGTCAGAAAAATTCATTCCCCCCTCTGAATTGTTTGGAACTCACAGAAAACTTGGAGGAAGTTAGGTTTGCCAACCTCCAGGTGTGTCTTGAAGTTCTCATGGAATTACAGTGATTGCAAGACTACAGAGATCAGTCCCCGTGGAGAAAATGACAGCTTTGGAGTGTGGACAATATGGTATTTGTTCTCTCTTCAAACTCCACCCCCAAATCCTCAGGAATTTCCCAACCCAGAGTTGGCAACCCTAGAGAAAAAGAACCAACCACTCTACTCCCTTCCCCCATTTTAACCTGCTTTACCACTTTCTCCTTTATTTTTTCCCATTTCATTACAAGAGATCACATGAGCCTAAATTTAAATGTGAGAGATGGATACACAACAAATATAAATTACCAGTACTCTGCAAGGGGTTTGTTCACATATTTTACTAGCAAACAAATATCCACATCATGAAGGAGAAATGGAAGTGGAAAAGATTTCCTGTGTATTGTGTTCTGTTTGGCACTATGGAAGACCTCTGGCTGTGACTTTAAAGTTGTCTTAGTACAGTTTAACATGCTTCCAAATAGGTGGCTTTTGTAGTTATTTATAAGAACATACAGTGAGGATATCAAATTGATTTTTATTTCTGCCTCCTTACTTGTCAAAGTGGGAAGCCTGCAGGGGGGGAAAATTTTGTACGCAGTTAGTACCCCACCAAAGAGAAGAGGTAAACTTGAAGATTTCATTCTGGAGAACTCTGGGGTGCGTTGCTGCCATTACTGTTCAGAGCACAATCCACAAGAGATGTTCCCTCTCAGCTACTTCCATTCCCATAGTCCAAAGAACTACATCTTGAAAATGCTCCTTTATTCAGGCATCTGTGTTGCATCTCTCCCAGCAGAATGGATAGCTTGCTGATGTTGCCTGACCCTAACTTTGGATTTCCCACCAAACATGATCCTGGTAAAACTGAACAATCTGTAGACATCCTGTAGTCTCAAATGCCTGCAGAAGTGACGGCAGTTGCTGTTGCACCTCTATTCTTATTTAGGTCCCTCAAGCACTATTGCTACTGAGCCAACACCCAATCAAATTAGCTCCAAAGTACTACAGGTACAACTCCCCAAGTCCAGTCACTTCACAAGCCTTGCAGAAGGGGACAAGCTGCAGCCCGGCTGAAGGATTAAAAAGGGATTGCTTCTGTGCCACATAAGAAAAGCCTGCAGAGAGCACCCTCTTATACCTTCCTTACCATCCAAGCATGGTTTTTGCAATGATGCCCTTTAGTTACTGAGCAAGTTCCAGTAACTGCCGCTTTTCCGCTTGTGCCACACAGCAAAGGGGTCACTGACTGAGGTCAGACCCAGCAGCTTTCTAAGCCAAGGAAATGGAAAAGGACACAGCTGAGTTGGTGCCTGTTTTCCCATATGCTAAATATTTATTCATTTAAAATATTTATAAGCTACCTTTCTTGTTTATGGAGCTCAAGACAGTTTTCAACATAGATAAAATACATAAAAACTAAAATTTAAAAATTTTAGATCTGACTGAAACAGGAATGGGTGCAGCTGGTGCACCAGCCAAAGCTGTGCAAATGGACTCTGAACCACTGCAGGCACCTGGTTTTCTAAGGTGACCACTATGTCAAGCAGCACTTCCAAACTGCAAACCTGACTTTTCAAGGGGAATATAACCTTACCGATGATAGGAGAGATCTGAAGTCCCTGATCTGCCTTTCTACTAACCCAGAGTACCTCTGTCTTGTTAAAATTAAGTTTCACCTTGTTCATCCTCATCCAGGCCATTACTGACTCCAAGCACCAGTTCAGAACATCAAACAGCATCCTCAGAATTAGATGGAAAAGAAAGGTAGAGCTGGGTATCATCCACATACTGGTGATACCACAGCCCAGACCTCCTGACGATCCTCCCAGCAGCTTCTATGATAGATATTAAATACCACAGGGGAGAAGATCTAGCCCTTTAGAACCCAACAGGTCAACGACCATGAGGCAGAGCAGGAATTCCCCAGCACCACCCTCTGAGAGTGACCCCCATGATAAAACTCAGATCACCATAAATACCATAACATGGTGCCCCCCCCCGTCCCAGGGATGAGAGGCCACTGAACAGGATACTATGGTTGATAGTATCATAGGCCTCTGAGAGACCCAGCAAAACTAGCAAGTCCCGATTCTAGTTCATAGAATCATAGAGTTGGAAGGGGCCATACGGACCATCTAGTCCAACCCCCTGTCCAATGCAGGACCAGCCTAAAGCATCTCTGACAAATATTCATCCAGCCTCTTCTTGAAAGCTGTCAGTGATGGGGAGCTAACCACCTCCCTAGGCAGCTGGTTTCACCTCTGAACCACTCTGACCGTGAAAAAGTTTTTCCTAATATCCAGCCAATACCTTTCTGTATGTAATTTAAACCCGTTGCTTCGGGTCCTATCTTCTGCTGCTCCTTGCCCTCCTCCAAATGACAGCCTTTCAAATATTTAAAGAGAGCAATTATGTCCCCCCTCAGTCTCCTCTTCGCCAAACTAAACATTCCCAAGGCCCTTAGCCTTTCCTCGTAAGGGTTCAGTCTACAGGCCCGATCATCCTCGTCACTCTCTGCTGCACCCTCTCGATTTTGTCCACATCCTTTTTGAAGTGAGGCCTCCAGAACTGCACACAGTACTCAAGGTGCGGCCTGACCAAGGCAGTATACGGAGGGACTATGACCTCCTGCGATTTCGATGCTATGGCCCTTTTAATACAACCCAAGACTGAATTTGCCTTTTTTGCCACCATATCACACTGACTGCTCATATTTAGTTTACAGTCCACCCTTACCCTCAAGATCTCTTTCGCATACACTACTCCCCAGAAACGTATCCCCCATCCAGTATTTGTGCTTGACATTTTTGTGGCCCAGATGTAATACTGTGCATTTATATTTGTTGAATTGCATCCTGTTTGCAACTGCCCACTTCTCTAGAGTATTCAAGTCTTGTTGAATTTTAACTCTATCTTCTTGGGTGTTTGCCACGCCTCCCAATTTGGTATCATCAGCAAATTTAATGAGTAGCCCTTCTACCCCTTCATCCAGATCACTGATAAAAATACTGAAAAGTACCGGGCCAAAAACCAAGCCCTGTGGCACCCCACTGGACACCTCCCTCCAATCTGATGAAACGCCATTGACCACCACTCCTTGGGTGTGGTCCTCTAACTGGTTCCCTATCCACTGAACTGTTCTTGATTGAGGTCATCAACCAAGATGACCAAAGCAGTCTCTATTCCAAACTCCAGCCTGAAGCCAGATAATCAGCAAATAAATAAGCAAAGTTGAACATGGAGATCACAGTGGAAAACTGAAGTAGACGAGATGCTGGCCTCTGCTGCACTGATAGCAGCTAATACAAATGTGCTCACTGGACTATGATTGGGCTCTTTGGAATTGGGACAAGTAGTCTAACTATTCTAGCCATGTTCTCCATGAGTTCTTTCTAGTATCTTCCTCTTCTGAGGTGACTATAACTGGAATGATTCAGACTTGTCTTTTGGATTCAGAGATAAGACTTTTTAATACTGAAAACTGTCCCATCAGATTGCCAAAAGCCCACACGCATGTGATTGAATTTTCCCTTGTAAAAAGCTGAACATACCATAGTTCAAAACACACCAAGCTTTTTAGAATCACTTTCTAAAATAGATCGACTTGCATTGTTATTGACTGTTCATTTTCTGCTTCATGTAACCTGAGTGTTAGCCTCATGTTAGGCTACATATCTACTGGCAGCATTTGGAATGCAGTCATGGGAACTTTCCCAGAAGCAGAGCTGGGGATAGCTGTTTGCTTATCTGGCGGCTGTCAGCCAAGAGTGTATTGCTATGTCTGTTTAATCATTTTTAATCATTAAACTCTCAGAGCAGAAGTAACAGTTTTCCTCCCTTACCCTTTCTTCTTTGCACAGTTTGCCTGGAACCATTGGAGAATACAGTATACAGCCATAAAGAAACCATATGCTAGCACTACCAGTAAACAAGACAAAAGGACGAACTGCTTTCTAAATGGCTACCCTAGACAGCTAAATTCAACCATATTTCTCATGCAGTTGACTTGAAGATTTATCAAGACCTAAATAAGCTCTGAAATATGCAGGGAGCTGCAGATAAAATAAATTCAAACTGGAATCCATGTGTCATGGGTCAGCCAGGGCTCAGTGACAGTGAGAACTCCCCAGAAGAGCTCTATGTAGCCAGCCCAGATTCAATGGAAGCCAACCAGCAGGTTAGTGAAGAGCAGATATGTTAACAGCCAGAAGCTAATGCAGAAGAACCTCTGCCCTCCAGTTCACCTCTGTCCCAGCAGGTGAAAGTCAGGTAGTCATCCCCAGGCCTCCAATATCACCTGTACCGAAAGCAGGCAAAGGCTGAGGAAAGAGCTCAGTAGCACCTTTAGGACTAACAAACTTTATTGCAGCATAAGGTTTCAAGAAACACAGCTCTCTTCATCAGATGATGAAATAATATAAAATAATCATACATGTTAATCACATAGGTTAACACAATTCAGATTTACAAACTCTACAACGTGGGAAGGTATGTTTGTTCAGAACCTCATCTGCTTATCAGGAGTAACTGTTACTGTAATTATGCAAGGGGACTGGCAAATTACTATTGTGACATAACAGTTATCCCAATGTACTAATAAAAGTGACATTAAGGTAACATTCAAAACTTCGTTGATAAGAAAAAAATGCAGTCTTTTTTATCCCAGTACAGACATCTTTACAAGATCTTGGGTCTCCTCCATTACAATTTAATTACATTCTGAAATTATGCTCAAGAGTCCACGGTGTAAGCCATGGCTCCACTGCATGATTGCTAAGAATTTTACAAAATACAGAAGGCGGTGGTGATTGCTACCCCAAATTACTTCCAGTCTTACCACCAGAGACAGGTAGACATACAATGATAGACATGAAGTGGGACCTCTAATGAGAAACAATAACACAACACACACAGTTACTTATATAGGGCTATCCATACCTTTTGCCAAGGCCTCTTTGTATTTTTCTTCTGTAACATTCAAATTATTCACATAAGTCGCATGATGCTTGCTGTGGTGAAGCTGCATGATTTCTGCACTAATGTGGGGTACCAGGGCGCCATAATCATAAGGCAAGTCAGGAAGTGTGTGCTTTTGCCTGGAAGCCAGGCATCCAAGAGGTGCAACGAGTTTAGGGCCATGTCTAAAACAGAATTTAAAAATTGAATATTTTATCATTAAATGGCAATGCTTTTATTTCACCTGCTTTGTGGGGCTGCCCAACTATTTAACATGTTACCACTACTATTCTAATGCAAAGTATAACCAAAACATAACACATTTCGAACATACTATCATTTTTTACAAATGTATTACATTTGTGATAGGGCCATGAATCTACGCACAAGGTCCCAGGTTCAAATCACAGCATCTCCTGTTAAAAAGAACCAGACATTAGGTGAAGAGACAGAATTTTGCCTGAGACGCTGCCAATCAGACAGTATTGACCTTGACAGACAAGTGGTTCTGACCCAGTATATGTTGCATTATGTTAAAGAAAACCAGTGACATCAGTTATACTGAGATTAAATTGGCTGAGTACTTAACATGCCAACTTCTTCATTCTTTTACTCTTACCCTCAAAACTATTTAGGGTTGGGCATCTGAACTATCAAAATAAGTGCCACATGTTTATAAAATATTTACTTATTTAAAAAGAACCTGTAATATGTTAATTTGTTGTTGTTCAGTCGCACAGTCGAGTCCGACTCTTCGCGACCCGATGGACCAGCTCCCGCCAGGCCCTCCTGTCTTCTGCCATCCTCTGAAGTTTGCTCAATTTCATGTTCGTTGTATCTATGACACTGTCTAACCATCTCATCCTTTGCCGTCCCCGTCTTCTTTGACCTTCAATCTTTCCCAGCATCAGGGTCTTCTCCAGTGAGTGCTCCCTTCTCATTTGGTGGCCAAAGTATTTGAGCTTCAGTTTCATTATCTGGCCTTCCAGGTAACAGTCAGGGTTGATTTCTTTTAGGATGGACTGATTTGATCTTCTTGCAGTCCAAGGGACTCTCAAGAGTCTTCTCCAGCACCATTTACAAAATGTTAATTACAAAACCAAAATTAATTATGTGATGGTGGCTTGTGTTTCTGTTCAGAGATGCCTGCTATTATAACAAATGGCCAGGAGGAGAACATTTGCTGTGCTGTTAGGCCCGCTTTCTGTAGCTACTCTCACGACTGTCCAAATGAAGCCAGAATTAAATGAAACAAGGAGCTGCTTTG